GCTTAGAAACATTAAGATACAGGCAGTCGTACTCCTACAGTTTGTCATCACAAAGTGTCATGACATACTGTGACAGATTTGACAGATGCAAGCTCCCTTAAGTGGCTACTGACTTGCACCAACGTTTTACCTTACAAATACAAGTTCAACAAACAACCATCGTTGCATTGCTGCAGTTCATTCCATAGAAGGATCAGGAGATGCCTGACCAAAGATGATTTTTAGAGGCTTAGGAAGGCTTGTCAGCATTATTCCCAAGCCTTCCATCGTCTGGAGTTTCAGAGTTCCCAGGCTGTGCCATAAATTTTATTGAATATTCCTATTGTGACGTTCCGGCCTTTATCATGCCAAGAGACCAAGTCGCTTGACCTTAGCAGACAGGAAAGAGTGGATTATGAAGACTAAGGTCTTAGGGCAACAATGCAGGTCCAGTTGCTGTAAGAAGATACAGATATGTAAAAAAGAAACATGATTAAATGAAGGAAATCCATATCATTTTGCTTATTTTAAACATTTCTATAAATGCATAACAAGCAGGTCAACCCATCTGAATCGGAATTATCTGAATAACTTACAGAGTGAAATATGTCTGAGAGGGAGCATGTAATGTTTTTTTCTTAAATGTCAAAGAGATGACTAACACACAAGCTTAGGTAGAAATCAAATTTAGTCAAGTTCACCATCTGTCTAACAAGTGAGCACTCACCACTCAGAGTAATGGTGCTAATGATTTTACTGATGCATTATTGCCCTGAAATGTCACATATTTCACTTCAAGTCAAAATTGAACAGAAAACAGGGGAAAACTTACTATCTCAGCCTCGGGACCTCCAAAATCAAGGAACATCATCCGAACGCCGTCGTCTGAGGACATTCTGAGGCGCTCAAAAGGCTGCTGGAGGAGAATATTCTTCCTGACACCCATTTCTTCGGTGAACAGTGTGAAACCGTCATCGATGTGAACTCCCAGCATGCACTCTTTCCCATTCCAACTGCAGACTGCCAAAGCAGAAAAAACAGTGCTTATGTGGCGTAAAGGTCAAGTAATGATTTATTTGTGATTTCATTAGTAGTATCATTCAGTATTGATACAGAGCTACAGAATGCACTTTACTAAATGTGACACTGAAAAGACAGAGATGCAGTTTAAATAGTTTTTGCTGTAAGAAAACAAAATTGTTCCAAATTTTAGTTTAGTAAAAGAAAGTTAGAATTAGTTTCACATATTGGAATTAAAAGAACCATTTTTAGTTTATTCTGGAAAGTTTTTGCATCATTTTATTCCACCAGCAGAGGGCAATGTGAAACCTTTACTACACAGCAAGGTTTTACACCGCATGGCACTGGTCTCAGAAAGTAGGACTACTGTGAGCAGTAAATCCAGCTGTAAAGCTGTAGGGGGTTTTACTCAGTCTAGATGTAAGCAAAGAGCTAAGACTTTATATACTACAATACATACGACAAAATGCTTTGTCTTCCCTCAAGCTCCTTATAAAAATCCATTGCATGAAAGTTTGTTTTCTAAAAACCCAAATCTTTTATTAAAATGAAACCAGAAGAATTGTGCAAAGATTAGGGACGTTCTACAAAGGGGTACAGCGTGCAGATCACTGTGTAAAGAACAATAAATCGCACTAATCCTGCTTTGTGAGACCAGCCTCTGTTTTAAACTGGAATGTTTGTGTGTCTGTTGAACAGAACCAAGTCTTAAGCCCAAGCAGGAATTGTTTGGTTGAAATAGATTTGAGGTATATTTATAGACACGATTCAAATGTCTGAATCAGTCCATGAAAAAAAGTCATGTTGTACTGCTAGTTGGATAGTATTTTGACTTTCAGAAGGCTCCATCTTTATTCCTCTTCAGCTTCTACCTCTAACAAAACCTTATTTATTTCTGAAAATTGGTTCGGATACGGAAATGTTACCTGCCATTACAGGTAAATTCTTCTTAAAATATTGTTTAGTTCAGGTTAACAATGATTACAAACCAGTGTTTCTGATAGTAATGGGGGGGGGACCCAAAACCAAAAAACTCTTACCCTAACTTACAGCATACAGACACTGCTAACTGAATTACATAATTCATGTGTACTCTAGTATAGAACTGACATCACCATTTGGTATTTAACATGTAGTGGGCTTTTCTCTTAATACGTCTGAATTTCAGATTTATTCGTAAACTGAAGAATCTTTTCTATCTCTGTACCCGTGGTGACCTCCTTGGTAAGCTCAGCAGCATTGTGGCAACCCTCCACCAGCAGATGAGTCCAGGTCGACAGCTCCTTAGCAGAATCCACCCTAAAAACATGCGTCTCCACGCCTTGCTTTGTGCCTGAACGTAGGCCAAATGACAGCTCAGAATCCAAGACTGGAGAGCTTTTTCCTGGACCAGAGTGGACCAGTCTGAGAAAGGAGGGTGTGGGGTAGGTGAAAGAGTGGGAAAAAAAGTGTATGAGAAAGATGATAATGAAGACTTATAGAAAATAATGTGGCCATAAGAGCAAATGATGTTGCAGACAAACTGCTACAGGGCTACAGAGGAGAGAAAAAACAGAGGAAAAACCCATGACTCATAGGTTCTGTTTCCACATGAATATGATGTTATTTGGCAAAACGTCCAACAGTCCAGCTATGGAAAGAGTGAGCATGTGTTCTCTGGGCTAAATCAAGCCAGAGGAAGGCCTGAGCCGAACAGGGTGGGGCTTCTGAAACTCCATCGTTATGTGAATGCGTTGATATAAGAAAGAGAGCGAAAGCACAAGTGTCATGTTATGTAGCGTGTGCTGTAAGGGTGGAAACCTGGTGGTGATGAGCGGGTGGCTCTTTGTCGGATTGTTGAGGCTCTCTTTGCTTTCAGGACATGAGGGATACAAGAGCAGGTCCTTGTCAGTCAGCACAGCCAGTACGGGTTTCTCTGGACCCTGAGATACCTGCGCACGTTGAAATTTCTATCAAAACTTCAGAAATATTTTAAACTTTCTATTAGGCTGCAGATCAGTTTAACCATTGCTCCCCCCACCCCCACCCCCACCCCCATTACCTGCTCTGTAATCCAGCCCAGATGTTTGACTTCCATGCCAGGCTGCATGCTCCTCATCTCCTCCTTCACTCGTGGTAAAAGGCTGGCAGCACCAGCCTGGATGGCATTGTACCAGGATTGGGCCATGGCAGGGTCTTTTGCCCTCAGGAACACAGAGTTCTTTTTGTTGGATGAAATCACCTCAAAATACCTGGCAAATGAGATGACAGAAAAAGAGAATGATGCCAGAAGAAAAGCATAAAAGAGGCGGGGAAAAAAGCTGTTAGAGGAATTAAAAAGACATGGCAAAGTGACTAAAGCTTAAGGGTGAAGAGGAAGTTTCAGATTTTAACAAAGAGAATGTGAAAAAGACACACGAAGAAGTCCCTTTTACAAAGCCATATCATTTTCATGTGTCAGATTTTTTTTTATCCAAATGCATAAACTGTATGAAATATTACATAAATCGCTGAAGCTTTAACATGTAATACCTGTTTTCTGTGTCTGGAGGGCACTGTTTTCGTGACACCTGGCACATCTTCAGCGGGATGCTCCGGGGCTCCTTCACCTCAGCAGGGGAGAGCTCAGTGCCCCTTTGAGGTGTGGAAGGGGGAGAATCCCACGGGAGACCTGCTCCAGGGGACCCAGAGCTTTTAAAGAAGGCAGACATCTCCTTGATGTACTTCACTGAAGCAGAGTGGGAGGGTGTGGGAGATAAGAGAAAAGGCAGAAGAAGTAAAAGAGGACAGAGAAGAGAAAGAGAGAAAAAATGTAAAAATGAAGCCTCCAGGTTTGGAGATGAGTTGAAAGCTGTAACACTTAAGAACTGTTTCAAAGTGGTGCAGAAATCAACGCACAGTACAAAGAGCTCTATGTCACAAAAGTTCTCCCATACAGAGCCTATGATGTTTATGTTGCATTTCTGTTGTAGGTAGTTGATTCTGGCATGTCTTTAGCAGCCACTGGTGCCATAGAGAAGATGTAATCTGACACTCATATCTCACTCGTGTGTCACATGTCATTCTGGTGCTCCAGCACAAGGATTATCAGTAGTGACCGTTACGGCGTCTCTGTTTGTGCTACTAACAGTGGCATTCTTAGTGCCAATAT